CTGGAATTGGTTGCTACCGCAGTTGTCCTATAGGGGGAGGGTTCTGGTATGTAACAACTTGGTTGCTTCTTCACTTTGGCACAGAATGACAATACTTGAGCCTCCTGAGGATCTAGTGCGAGGAATACAACAACGACTAGTGGATTTTTTCTGGTCGGGACAGCACTGGTTGAAGGCGGCGGTGCTGTATCTACCTAGACAAGAAGGAGGCCAGGGGTTGATTGACATCAGAGCGAGACTCAGGACCTTCAGAATGCAGACGGTGCAAAGACTGCTTTACGGAGTGGATGTGAGCTGGGCTGAAGTAGCCTGTGCCCTCCTAAGAAGAGCTGGAAACATGGGTCTGGACCGCCACCTGTTCTTGATAGACATTAACAGACTGGATTTAAGTGGACTGAGCCTCTTTTATAGATCAATTTTAAAGTCATGGTCAATTTTTAATTTGTCACGGGGTGCAGGTAGCACACAGAAATTATGGCTGAAGGAGGAACCACTATTTTTCAATTCTGCATTGGATTCGGATGTTTTTAAATCGGACACTTTCAGAAAAGCAATGTGGGCTGCAAACATGACAAAGATTGGACACTTAAAAGACAAAAAAAGTTGGATTAGCCCTGAAAATCTAGCTTCAAAACTGGGAATAAAATCAGTCAGGCTGGCACAAAATATGTTGACTCGGATTTTAGAGTCTCTGCCTCAGGACTATAGATTGGCAATGGAAACTTTTGATGAAAAGGCAGATAATTGTGACTTTCCAGAGTTGTTTTTTTCAGCACTGACTGGCATATGGCAAGAAAAAGAGGACTGCTTATTATCATTTAAGACCCCTAAGCTGGCCTGCTTTGGTGATGCTGATAAGAAAGCTATCTACATTATGTGTGTGAAAGTGTGGCATCTTAACACACTGAAGAATGTCAGCGAGTCCAAATGGTTGGAGGTTCTGGGGCCAGGTGCCTCCCCTAAAGGCTGCTGGAGGTCCCTGTACAAACCACCCATTGAGAAAAGGTCTGGAGACCTTCAGTGGAGAATAGTACATGGGATTATAGCTACAAACAGACACAGAGCACACCTTGATCCAGAGGTAGGAGTAGGTTGTCCTTTTTGTAGAGAGCAGGAAGATGTTTATCATTTGTTTTTAAAGTGTGAAAGGCTTCAACCTCTGTTTGATATCTTAGAAGAGTGGGTTCATACTTTAGGGGAAGTCTTTACTCCAGCACTTTTCATTTATGGACCAAAGTATAGTAGACGTAGGAGGGAAGTACATGTTCTGATTAACTTTATTTTTGGTCAGGCAAAATTGGCTATATGGCTATCAAGAAAACATTTTTTGAATGATGCTGGGTCAACTGATGTTGTGTCTATTTTAAAAGGGTTATTAAAATCTCCTATTAAAATTGAGTTTACGTATTACAAACTGGTCAATGATATGGATATGTTTAAAGGTAAATGGGCTGTAAACCACTGTATTTGTGATGTTGATGTTGATGATTGCTTGCTATTTTATATATAAGTGTTAATATTTATTTATTGATTCAAATTTTTTTATTCTTATTTATTTATTTTTATTTATTTATTTAATTAATTTAAAAAAATAATAATAATTTCCCTCACTCTATGTATATATGTATGTGAAAAATGTAAATATATGCATGTTAGAATTGTTGTCTTCACGCTGGTGGCCATCGCAGTGGAAAGGTTAATAACTCTCACCCTCCTGCACTTCACATGAAGACAAACACCTGTCATCCGCAAAAGCAGCTCTGCTCAATCACACTGTGACTTCAGTTAATAACTGAGCCCAAACATGATCATTCTGTCAACATTTACTCACCCTTATGTCCTTCCAAATCCTATGACTCTCTCAAAAACACTCAGCTTACATATGAACTAATTAAGCTTCTGGTTGCTGACAGACGTGTTCACAATGTGCTGGTTTTGTTTGGAAAAGAATAACAGCTGAACATTTAACTTCTAATGACTTCATTTTGACATGATTTTTTATCTTAAAATTAATCATTATGAATTGGTATGTCATAACTGAGACTTGACTTGAGACTTGACTTTTTGTCATAATACTGACTTTTCAGTTTCAGTTTTTAAATTTACCATTTCTCATAATTATGACTTGTTGTCATTTGATTTTTTCAAGAATTTAAATGTTTTGGCATAATTTAGATTTTTCAATACCAGAATTTTCACCTTTTATTAATAATTGTGGCATTGCTACAGCTTTTGTAGACTTTGTATATCATAATGTTGACCTAGTATGTTGTAATTTCCACTTTTTCCTCATAATTATGACTTTTTGTTATATTTTTGGCCTTTTAATCTCATCATTTCTATTTTTGCCATAATTTTGACTTTTCAGATATTTAACTTTGACTTTGTATTTAAAGATTGTAATGTTATGTTGATTTTTAAAGATAATTTCAGCCTTTTATGACTTGGTATGCCATCATTTCCACATTTGTCTCATAATTGCAACTTTTTGTCATAATTTTAATTTTTTAATCTGACTTTTTAAACACAATTTCGACTTTTTATTTAATGGTAAAACATTAACATTTTCAAAATGTTCTATTTTTAATGTCATCGTTTTTATTTTTTCATCTCATAATTATGGTTTACCAATGCATTACTTTTTTTTTTTTTTTTTGATTCGGCAAAAACATTCAGTTCTCACTGACTTCAGAAGAAAATGAACAGCTGCTATAAAGCTTCTGTCTGGTCGTTGACAGACGTGGTTACAATGTGCTTGTATTGTTTGGAAAAGAACAACAGATGAACATGAAAAATCCCTTTGTGTTCCACAAAAGAAAGCAAGTCGAAACAGATCTTAAAAGCACCATTCAGTAGAAGATGATAGCGGGTGTCAATGAGAGCGCCGTTCTTCCTTCTGAGAAACATGACACACACACACACACACACACACACACTCTCTCACACACACACTCTCTCTCACACACACACGCACACACACACACACAGAAAGCATCTGACAGACACTTCACACATTATGTCACATTGGTTTGTATTTAACAAAGCAGTCATTTATAGGGACTGGAGCTGCGTCTCGTCCTCAGACGGCACACGTCTGAACATGTTGCACACAAAAGCAGAAATTGCCAGGTTTGAAACAGACCGCTGGCTCTCCTCGACCCGCATGAGTCAGTGTGCACTCAGCTTTTGTAATCAATCAATCAGCTTGATTCTTAGGCGCTACAGTAGGTTGCAATAATTCAGCGCTTTTGAGGAAGAAGTCAAATCTCTGAGGTGCTTTAAAAGGGTCCTATTATGCTTTTTCACTTTTTTGACTTAAGTTAGTGTGCAATGTTGCCGCTTGAGCAAAAGATCTGCAAGCTTACAAGTCCGCTCCAAAGGGAGATATTCTCTTTAACAGAAAACACTTTTCAAGAACTGCAACAAACGGATCATTCGGACCACAGCACGCTTCTTCCGGATATTGTGACGTCACAAATTTTCAAGGGAAGTTGCTAAAGGAAGGTTGATTTGTTGCTAAATGTCTGCACATACGCACGACCGGAAGCAGCGGAAGCGCTCGACTGTGGCATAATAAAAGCTCCGCTGCTTTCCAGCCGTGTGTCGCGCTCGTTCAGCGCCTCGTTTCGCTTCGACGGCTTTCAGCCTCACCCTGCTTCATTCTACTACGTTAATAAATCATTAGCTCATCCATGAACATGACTTCTGCCCGAGTCCCGTCGGATTGCATTGGCTGTGGAGATGAAGACCACAACTCCCATGATTCCACACTCAGTCACGGCGTCATCAAACTAGCCTTTGTTTCTTTGTTTGTTTTGAATACGCGCCCTCTAGTGGCGAAAACGTACATACTGTGCCTTTAATGACAGAATTTTCATTTTTGGGTGAACTATACCTTTAACTTCCTAATCTTGTAATTATGTAACTCCGGTTTACCAAAAGTATGATTTAGTTTCTCCCGTACAGTCTGCTCCAGATGGCTCAGATCTGATCTCCTGCATTCCAGGTTTCGCTGCATTGTCTATCCGTTCCAGCAGAAGCTGACGCGGCGTCAGGCCATCATCACCATCGCCTTCATCTGGGCGCTGGCCGTGGGCATCATGTGTCCGTCCGCCGTCACGCTGACTGTCTCGCAGGACGTCTTGCACTTCACCGTGGACGGGGACAATGAGACGCACCCGCTCTACACCTGCTGGGAAGCCTGGCCCGACCAGAGCATGAGGAAGATCTACACCACCGTGCTTTTCTCGCACATCTACCTGGCTCCGGTCACGCTCATCTTCATCATGTACTCGTGCATCGCGGTCAGGCTGGTCAAGCCTCCCGTCTTCCGCCGCAAGCTGCGCGTGGTGAACATGCTTCTGATGGTGGCGCTGCTCTTCGCCGTGTCCTGGCTTCCGCTCTGGATCCTCATGATGCTGACGGATTACGGAAATCTTTCGGCCACTCAGCTGGACCTGGTGGCCGTCTATGTCTTCCCGTTCGCTCACTGGCTGGCCTTCTTCAACAGCAGCGTCAATCCTATCGTTTATGGCTACTTCAACGAGAACTTCCGGCGTGGATTCCAGGCGGCGTTTAAGCTGGGTTTGTGTGTGGTGGACGAGCCGCCGCAGCCCAGACGCAACGCAGCGTGGAAACACAACCGCGTGTTTGCGGACCGAGACGAGACGAACGCAAAGAGCGATGGCAGGAGAGAGTTCTGCAGCGGAGAGCAGAGAGACGAGCTGGTGCTGGAGGATCTGGACTGAGACGCTTACACACACTGGGGAAGTCGTGGCCTAATGTTTAGAGAGTCGGACTCATAACCCAAAGGTTGTGGGTTCGAGTCTCGTGCCGGCAGGGATTGTAGGTGGGGGGAGTGAATGTACAGCGCTCTCTTCCACCTTCAATACCACGACTGAGGTGCCCTTGAGCAAATTAAATATCGCATGCGATTTATCGTGCAGCCCTAATGCACACATACACATGCACGCACACACAAACACACACATACACACACACACACACAAGCATGCAAACGTACACAAACACATTATCACACACACACACATACACAAACACACAAATATATGCATAAACACACACTCACAGTAGGGCTGCACGGTTTGGGAAAAACATACAAACAAAATTCTTTTTTTATTATTATTATTAGAATATGAAAACAGCATATTAAAAACTAAAATAGCATAAAAAGATCTAGTATTTTAAAAAATATAATAAGATAAAAATATTACTATTGTAATATTTCAACTACTATTATTATAGTTGTTAATAAATTTAAAAATATTAGCATTGGGATGTTATATTATATTTTAATATTACCATTGCAACATTTTACTGTAATATAAAAAGATTTAGTATTTGTGACCCTGGACATAAGTGTCAATTTCTTGAACTTTCTTGAACTCAATTTATTTATACATAATAAGATATAAGAATAAATATAAGAAAAGAAGAATAATAATCTATAAAATAATTTATATAAGAATAAATAAGCTTTCCATTAATGTATGGTTTGTTAGGATAGGACAGTATTTGAAAATCTGGAATCTGAGGGTGCACAAAAATTTAAATATTGAGAAAATCATCTTTAAAGTTGTCATAATGCATATTACTAATCAAAGATTAAGTTTTGATATATTTACAGTAGGAAATTTACAAAATATCTATAATTTTGACCCATACAATGTATTACTGACTACTGCTACAAATATACCTGTGCTACTTATGACTGGTTTAGTGCTCCAGGGTCACATTTTAGAAAAATATATTACTACTACTACTACTACTAATAATAATAATAATAATAATAACAACTGTTGTTGTTGTTATTATTATTATTATTATTATTAGGATATTACTATTGTAATATTTCATTATTATTGTTATATTTTAATTGTATGAAATACTACAATACTATTATTGTAATATTTCACTGTAAAATAAAAATACAATAATGATAATAATAATTATTTTATTTTACAGTGCTAATATGTCTGGCTGTCTTAAGATCTTCATTTTCAAACATTAAACATTAAATTACAACCTTGATAATCACTCTAAGCCATACTGTGATTTCTTTTCAATTAATCGTGCAGCCCTAACTGAGGCTAACACTCACAGCTCTCTTCTGCTCAACACGAGGGTTACAAAATAATAATTCTGCATTTTTGAGGGACTGTTCCTCTAATAGAACAATGCATGCAAGCATGCTGCAGAAATGTACAGCCCACGCACATTAAACACACTCATTATGTACAAGAAAAACAGTCAATGTATTAAATGGTTCATAGACTGATATTTGGAAGTAAGTGTTCTTCTGCTGATCCGGTGTTGTTTGCTGTGCAGATGTATGTAAAGCTATTTGCTCTGTAAAACAAACAGCAATTACCATTCATGCTGTGATGTGTCTGTTTGCCTTCAGAAAAACACTGACAGCTAATTAGAGAAATCCACATGCCTGTGAAAATGTCTTTTTATAGGCTGTGCTTCTTGAAAAAGCTGACAGTTCACAAAACGACAAATATGAATATTTATAGCAAAACTCTGGACTAATCAACTTTAATCAATCTTTCAAACTCAAATAAAACAAAGTTAGAGGTATATAATTGGGAGACCGGGGCTAGTTGTCACATTTTTTGCTTGAATAAAGCATTTCTGTACTGACCAATACAAAACTACTGCAAATTTTTAACGTCACTGCCTGCAAAAAATATACAAACAATAATGGGGCATGTTGTCACACTATATGGGGTAAGTTGTCACAATGCAAACCTGCCCTTAAATAGCCTATTAAAGGCTTTGCAGTAGAATTTAGACAGTAAAACAATGGTGAAACAATTCATGAACATGCAAAAATGGAAAACGTAACTACAAAAAAGCACAGAAAGCCACTTACTACAATTACAGCAGTTAAAATGCATGTGAAAACTTGCCCCAGTCTGAAACTAAAGTTGTGAGAATTCACAAATATTATTCTAGATGTTTGAAACGAACACACAAAACCACTGATGGAGAAAAACAAGCATTGTGCAATTCAACATTCACCTTGTGACAACTAGCCTGTTTTATAGTGACTCTCAGCTGAATCTGCTGCAGTGGTTTTGTGTAACCGTGATAGTGTCACAGTCACTTTGGTTCTTTATGTTAGTATCTCTGGTCTACTTGAGGGAACTGAAGCATGACATAACATCTCAAACCTCTACGAACTCCAGCATCCATCCGTTTGATTGACAGCTGGAGATCTGCAGAAGCTCCTCCCACTGGAGAACAGCAGCACTGCAGGAGACGGCCATCCAATCACAGTTACTCTGTATGTTTGACAAAAATCATTATGATTTATTTCATCAGAATACATGACTCCTGAATGGATAAAGATGCTTTTTAACAGCCAAATGGTGTAGTAACCAATACTAACCAGCCAAACCGTGACCTGCTACAGGGCTTCTTATAACTCTAAACCATTAAAAACAGCTGAACTAATACACAATCCAACTGTTACAAATGAAACGCATGCTTTGCACTGTCACATTAATTTGCCAGGAGAAAATTAAGTTTATTTAGAGATCTATTTCAAGATACCAAACTTAATACGAGCAGCAGATGACTGAAAATTACTCTGATGCTGTGAGAGTCACATAATCCTGACTAGTATGTATAAATAAATACATACATACATGTTTGTAGACAGACATTTTTTATTTTGTTTGTATTTAAATTTTTTTGCATGCAAAATTAAAATAGGGGGGAAAACATGCACATGTGAAGAGATAAAAGGGTCTCTTGTTATTAATATATTCAATTAGATTTTGATTGTTGATGTCCACTTGAAGTTAATTTCCATCTTTTCAAACGTTTATATTTTTAATAACATCTTTTTGGATTGGATAGGGCATTTTAGAGAGACATAAACCAAACATCACAAAACATCATAGCATCCCAAACGCATTGATAATACTTACTGATGTTTGCACAGCTGATTTCCCTCCAAAATGACGTCACTTCCTTTTGGATGATGTCATTGAGAAACTGGCTTTTGTTAGTTAAAGGGATTTTACTAAAGACTAACAGGGTGTAAAGTCATATTAAGGACACACGCACACACAAAATTATTAAATTATATGAGTATATCAAATATAACAATATTTGCAAAGAAAACGTGTTTAGATTGAAACATTTTGAAAGACTGAAGCACCTTGAGACATGAAAACTGAACATCCAGTCAAACTAAAGTAGAACAATGATATAAAATTCACTCTATGTTCACTTCACTGATAAAAGAAAGTAATTTATAAAAACTGAGGGACATTGATGATTAGGTCTGGAAAATATATGCATACCCAGTCAATAAAAATATAAGCAAGAACATTTTGCTAACATTCTCACTAAGTTTTTTTTAAATGTTATTTCAGAATGTTCTCTGAATGTTCAAAATGTCCCGTTTAAAAAAATTGTTTTTTTTTTCTTGGTTATGCAGATGTTAAGGGAAACTTTCATTTAATCATTTTGCAAACATTATGGAAATGCTACTTTTGAATGTTCTCTGAACATTCTAAACAACATTCTTTAAAGAGATTTCAAATGTAGCATTCCCATAATGTTAATTTATAAAATGTAATTTTCCCTTAACATTTAAACTGGACAAAATAAATTTAAAACTAAGAAACTTTGTATCAGACTGGGCTCTTTAGCTGAAATATTGTAAAAGCATGCAAGATGAGTTCTGATTGTCCCGTCACAGCAGATGCTGCCAGATACAAGTACATTCAACTCTGAACTGTGTTTAATTGCACTCAGTGGGACTTCATTGAATCCTGCAGATGCCACTGTGGGTTCTAGAAGAGTTCAGAGGAAACTGAGACTGTAAATATACTGCACTGAACTGTTGACCTCTTTTCTTGCTTGTTCTTCTTCTTCTTCCACAAACCATGACAATTCATTCAGACACAGATTTGAGTCTGTTCCGCTGCACGCTAATGAGGACGAACTTCCCCAGCCTTATTTATAGTCTGTTGCTATCTATAATGTGAGCAGGTTAAAAATCAGCTTCCATAAGCATCTTATGAGACGGTGCTGGAGGAGTCAGCGCAGCAGGAGGGTAATGTGGCCTGTTATTGGCTTTGCACTAAACCCCCGTCTCTCCCGCCTGCCGCTGTGGGTGAGTGTGTGTTTGGATCACACACTGGCATTTACACACACTGATGTGCTAACCACGCGTCCACCTGCCCTCAGGATACAGCACTGTGGCAGAGACACAGAAAACAAGCATAGCATGCGAAGGTCAGAGAGTTGAGCTCTGCTGTGTTTTATACAGAATGAATCAAACTCTCAGCAGCTGAGGAAGAACTGCTTTTGCTTTTAGACGCCTACAGATGAGAAGCTCTGCTGCTGCAGATGAAGTCAACTAAAGGAGTGACCTTAATCGCTAGTGTGCACACTTTAAAAATGTGCTTAATAGCCTGTGTCATGATTTACGGATGGACAGACTGATAAAGAGACAGACAAACAGATGTTCAGGCAGATAGATCGTCCTGTCACGCAGCACATCTTCATGACCAAATCAATACAGTCGATCAAATATTAAACTCACAATTTTCACTCACAGTCTCACAATGAAGCGAACAGGCTGATTTTAAATCATTTTTTCTACTTGAGTGGATGCAAACATCTTGTAAACCCTGTTTTAATTAATATAAAATTTGTCGGGTTTATATATATGTCCAATATCACTTTACACGTCGTTATTTGTTTAATTCACTTTAAGCTGACAATGCTCATGTAACTGTCAGTCACTCACTGAGAAATGAACATTTACATGAAAACCCATGCATATTCGTTTTATAATTGTTGAAGGGATGCTGCATAACAAGAATGACCTGTCTAGTGGCATCATCTTAACTATATAATTACGCATAGGTATATTTAATCATCTTCTCTTATTACACTGACAGCACAGTGACACACACACACACACAGACACTCACTCACACACACACACACGCACACACACACACACGCACGCGCACACACACACACACACAGACAAACTGTTGAGCATCTGCTGGTGGCAGTAAGTAACAGGTGGAAGTAATTACTGTAGCTACGTGACCAATCAAAGAAAATCTGCTTTCTGTTGAAACCATAAGTGTTTTCCGTAATGAATTCTGTCTTTGGTTCAAACATCACAATAAATCCTCCTGCTCTCACTGTCAGACGTCAGAAAGTGATGAAAATCTCTTTAATCTCAGAGTATTTTAGATCCTTTGTGACGCTCTTTTATCTCATCTCACAGAAAACGCAGAGGGGAAATACATATCTCCATTTCATGACATTCCCATCTACGCAGACGAGGCCGGGGTAAGGAATATCTGAATCCTGATTCACGCATTCATTCCTCAGATCTCTGAACTGGGTTTTAATGAGGAACAGAAGTTGTTCCCTTCACCTCTGTGAAACACTCAGACTGATTTCGCACATCTATGATCATGTGAAATCTTGTAAACAACTCAGAAATTCAAGCAGTCTACATACAGTAAACGAGAGCCAAAAACACCTCAAAATTTGGTTTTGCATTGGAAAATGAAGTCAACGATGAATTGAAAAGTGCATCTGTTAACTAAATGCATTACTGTTTGATACATAGAGAATTACAAAAAATATATATTTATTTTACATTTATTTTTAAATATAATATAACCTATTCAAATTGTGATGTCAATATTTTATTTTTAATCATTATTCTAAATAATGTGTTGATATTTTGTGGTTAAAAAAAAATACGTAATTGTTTTGACAACATAGTTAGTAATATAGAATTTATACTTAACAGGGAATAAACAGGCTTAATTAGTTAAATGTACTGAAATGATTTAATTATTTAGATTTTGTCAAAACTGTTGGATTAATGAAGTTTGTTATGACTCTGATAATATTGAATTGCTGCAGTAAATAAAAAATAAAAGGACCAAAACATTTTAAACCTGGACCCTCGTCAGTGTCAGCTAAATGAACTGGCACATTAATGATAAAACAATCAAACAACAATAAACTGCTCATGAACATAAAGGACATCTCAAATGATAATAAATATAAATATATATATAAATAAATATCCCACATTCCTCTCTATCTCTCTTCCTCTGTGTCTGTCTGTCTGTCTGTCTGTGTGTGTGTGTGTGTGTGTGTACCTGGTATTTATCACGTTATGGGGACCAAATGTCCCCACAAGGATAGTAATACTAGTAAATTTTGTTTATTTTAAATTTTGGTCCCCATGAGGAAACAAGCTTATAAATCATACAGAATTAGTTTTTTTGAGAAAGTAAAAATGCAGAAAGTCTCCTGTGAGGGGTGGGTTTAGGTATAGGGCGATAGAAAATATGGTTATGGAGAGTCCCTACAAGGATAGCTGACCAGACTGTGTGTGTGTGTGGAACAGTTTATAGAACCTTTAAAGAAAATGTCAAATAAAAAAGTAAAAAAATAGTTTGCTTTTTCTTTAAATATCATAGGCCTATTTGATACATCAGGCTTTTATGGCTCATATAGTCTGATATAGTGAGAATATGGAGCTCATACTTG